AATGCAGAAGTATTTCTTTTGTTGACTGTGTCTGTTGTCCTAATGTTTTTGGTTTATTTTGAGGCGACTTACATAGGAAACTTAATTTTTTGTGCCAGTTTCATTAGGAATAGCTTTCTTGGGTTTGGAGTTTTACTGAAGGGAGTCTGGTTTTACATAATTGCACATTTTCAAGAAAAGATAAACTGTATTTTTTTCTTCTCTGGACTTCTTCAAAGTTGTGTGAAATTGGATGCTCTTGAACCCTGTGAAGATTTGGACTCTCCTGCGAATGAAGAAAGTGAGGAAGAAAAGGAAGAAATAATATCTGTAGTTATTGAGGAACCAAAAGAGAAGTGGGATTGTGAATCCATCTTGAGTAAGTATTTTGGAGTTTGCTTGTTTGTTCCTAGGACTTCAAAGTAAGTGATAGGTGATCTCAGAACTTTTCTAGCAGTGCTTTAGGTAAAACAGTTTATGCTCTGAGCACAACAGCAGGAATTTCCAAAGCCTAAGTAGTAGTACAACTCATAATAAACTTACCTCGTTTCTCTTTCCAAGCCCTTCTTCACTGCTTTCTTTTTCCTTTGTGCCCTAGGTACATATTCAAACTTATATAATCATCCGACCCTTATTAAGGAGCCATCAAAGGTAAAATTATTAAACTTATTCTAATGAATAACACTGGGAAAACTTGACACAAATGTGCATTTTTTTCTCAATGGATATCTACTTTAAAAGAAGGAGCAGAAAAGAGGGTTGGGGAGGGTGTTAGCCTCTGGTATTATTTCTTCACTAAAGAGGGGTTTCGATATATTTTTTTATATTAGAAGGAAAATTGAGTCAGTTCAAAATGTCTGTAATAGCTAGGCAGAAACGTACAGAGCAAGGAATTCACTTTTTTGTTATCTATGATATAGCTTTGCATAATGCATGTCTCACAACTACCTATTAGTTTGGATTTTTTTCTACAGTTTGAAACAGTTTATTCTAGTTCTTTGGCCTTCCAGATGTTCCCCATCATTAGAGCACAGCTCGATATTCCAAAGTTTGAAAGGAAACCTTTTTCTTGCAAGCTTATAAAGGAATACTAAGTGCCTACTGAAGTTCTTTTTTTTTTTCAATAATATTTAAATAGAAGGGAAAATTGTTTTTCATGTTCTGGGAGGCTAGATTCTGTTCACAGATGTATTTGGTTTCTTACTTTGGGATTAATGTGCATTTTTCTGGAGGAACAAAATAGTATGGGGAAACTCACATGTTAATTACCATCAAATCTGAATCTAACGTTTTTATACTGCTAATGCAGTGCAATGTGCACTTCTTGTAGAGAAAAGTAGGGACCATTAATACATATGCACTCTCTATTTTAGCCCAAGCCAATAAAAATTTCTCAGAAGACTGGAATTCCTCTACATATCTTGCCTCAGAAAGGTCTTACCGCTAAGCAGGTTGAACGCATGCAAATGATTAATGGCAGTGACCTGCCAAAAGCATCAACACAACCTCGTTCCAAAGATGAGAGCAAAGAGGATCGCAAGGCTAGAAAACAGGCAATAAAAGAGGAGCGAAAGGTACTTATTATTTTAAGTAAGACCTTGCAAAACCTGAGGTTGTATTATCTGTATGTTGTATTATCTGTCTTATAAACTTTATTTAAGGCTCACTTGTTTTCATGTCTGGAAGTAATGGGGAAAACTTGCTGGTCTCAAAGGACTAATTATTGTTCCTTAAAAAAAAAAATCTACTAGAAAGAAAGTTAAGATAATTTTGTCATCCTGGTTTCCAGTGTCAAAACTTTGGGTTTGTTATTGTGACCACTACTGCAGATAAAACTTCAGAAGGAACCTCAGATTTCCTTACAATCTAGAGTAGCAAAGGAAACATTTATAATGTTTCAGATTACATAAAGTGAAAAGTATCTGAAAGAAACTATGGAAGAGTGGAAAAAAAATGGAAAATCTAATTGCCCACAATTAAATACTAGCTGTTTTTCTTAGAAACAGAAATAGCTAGCATATTAGAAGCTTCAGGGTAATTTAAGATGTTAATCCTGCTGGTACACATATTAATTTGACTTCTGCTAATTAGTGCCATAAATGATAATATTGTCCAGATTGCTCTTGTTTTCATGATCTAGAACAGTTAATTAGAATTGTTTGATTTTGCATGTTAATTCCTATTTTGTAAATTTCTAATTATTCATATGCATAGGAACGCAGAATGGAGAAGAAAGCCAACAAACTTGCCTTCAAATTGGAGAAAACGAGGCAAGAAAAAGAGTTGCTCAATCTGAAACAAAACGTTCAAGGACTGAAGCTGTCTTGATGAAACTGAGAAGTTTATTGTGGAAACATCCTTAAGTTCTGATTTGTATTGAGAAGGGAACTGCCAACTGGAGAACTTTGCCAGTCCTGCTTAAAGGGAGTTGTTCAGATCTCACTGTAACAAGACCACAGTAACTTGTTATTCTTTCTGAAATTAAATTCTACATAAAACAATGTGTTAGGGATGTTTATTCTGTCAGGAATGACAAGGCAACTGTTGCAAAGTTTCATTACAGTATGAATGTATTAAAATAATTAAAAATATTTTTGTTACACGCTGAACAGAGTTTTTTAAATATATATATTTGTTGAATGTATTCAGCAAATGAGCAGAATCCTACAGATTTGATCTCATTAGATTCTTCTATTAAATTATTTCATTTTACATAGCAATATTTTCATTTATGTCTTCTCTCCCTTCTACTGATGGTTGAATATAGTGCCTTGATATAGCACAGTTTTGTAAGTCAAGGAGTTTTCACCCACTCCTCCTTGGTTCTTTTCTGAATAGGTTATTTGTTGTTTTGGTACTATTACAAAAGCTGTAGAATAACCTTTCCTAAGCAGAGGTGTCTGAAAAGCCCTTGTGTAGCTAGACATCCCTGTTACCTAACCTGACTTTTATGTTTCATGGCAAATAAAATCTGTTTCAACAAGTGTTACAGTTAGAGTATTCAGTGACCCCTTAGAGTTGCTATTGGAATTGGCTTTGCTGAAAGTATTCACTCTGAGTAGTGTGGCAAACAAAACAGGAGATAATTAGAAAAATGTTGTAGATAATTAGAAAATGTTGTAGATAGTCATGGTCTTGATTTTCCTGAAATACTATTCCTCAGGTCTTGCATTCAGTTTGGTTTCATTGAAATACAAGCTCAAGACCCACCACAAATTTTTGAAGATGAGCAGACGGCCAGAGTTGAGGCTTGGTATGATCTTAAATGTTTGTACTGTGCACATGAGTTATCTTGATAGTGACCAGTCCATTATGTGTGAATGAAATGAATAGTATTAGTAGTCAGTCATAAATCCTTATGTATTAATAAGAAACCCTCAGGTTTAGGTCCGTAGGCTACAGACTGAGCAGTCTTCTGCCTTTAGGTGAAAAGTTAACCATTTTACTGTAAGGAACCAGTGCATTAGTGGAGTGGCCTGACTACTGTTGAATTCAAAGCATCTGAAATATTCCTTAAATAGTTTTGTGAATACTAAATGGAGACAAGCTTGCAGAGGGACTGATGAGGCTGTTTAATGTACAGAAACAATTCAAAGTACTTGGTTTTACTGGAGGGAGACTTTTATAATAAATTGGTAAAGTAAGATGATTTTGGAGAAGGGAATAAAGAGGTATTTGAGTCTACAAGTCTCTTAATCACTGCTCAGAAAACTGAAGTGTCAATGCAGTATGCACATCTAGATGAAACCTTTGTTTTCTAGAATTGTCTGTGTTAACTGAATCAGTAGAAATCATCTGTAAGATTAGGAAAAAGTTTCAGAGTTTTCCTTTAGCTAGTTTCCCTTACCTGTATTAGTTTTCATGTGTTTCACAAGCTTAAGCAGGGTCTGCCTATGTCGTAATTGCTAATGTAATAGCTGATTGTGTGGTAACTTGGATGGTGAGCTTTTGAGTAACGAATACTGACCACCTAGTACTCGTGACTCCTGACAACAACACAGAAAAGGAAATCTGAGAAGCAATTCTGTTGAGATGAGTCAGATACCAGGAAAGAAGTTAAATGGAACGAGTAACAGATGCTGTTCAGTTGTTTGGGTGGAATGTGATTTTCTGATTTACCAAAAAGGACGGTGCATGTGTTCTTTGCTAGGTTTCTCATTGCTGATTCAATGATACTGTGCTTGTACCCAAAGTCCTTTTTTTCTAAAAAAAAAAAAAGCTCCTCTATCAGTCAAAACCTTGAGGGGGTGAGAAAGAATAAAGAGGTGGGGGAGCCAAAAGAAGACAGACACACCTGTTGATTGGGAACAAAAGGGGAAAGACATTTTTGACTTTTTCTATTGCCTTTGTTTGAAAGTTATAGAATTACTTTGTTCCTCTGCACTTGTAATCAATGAAACACTGTACTAACGTTAACTCTGTACCTTGGAGTATGTTAAAGTCCTAAGGAAAAGGTAAGAAAAGCAGTCACTCATCTGCTTTAGCAAGACAAGGATTTCTTTTGTTTTAGCAAGAGCAGGTAAGGAACAGTTAAATGAGAAGTCCTTACAGAAGTTAATTCAGAGAAGTACCTCTGTAGGGTTACCAATCTAATGAAAAGGACTGTGTTATTCAGGTTTTCCTAAGGGCTGTTTCTGTTTAATAAAAGTCACGTCCCTGCTCTGAAATGAGAGTATGTGACTGCCTTTGGTGTCAGAGGGGCCTAGAACTACTTTCCATGTAACTTTAACACCTATTTTTTCAAAAAAATTACTGATTTTAAACATCCCCCAAAAATTGACATCTACAAAGTAAGATCATCTTGGAATGGTGTTTAGCATATCATGGAAACGTTCCGCCTTAATAATGAAGATAATGTCACACATTGCATGGCACTTTCTACCTTCTGAAATAGCAACAGTTCAGCCTGAGCCATTACAGGGTGTCATTAGCTCCTGCTGACTTCCAAACAAAATAGAATAAATCTGGGTGCAGATCGCCTGTTCTTGCTTCCCAACCCCCTTCCCTGAATTTAGGGAGCAATGAACTTGGGTACTGTTCCATCATCTCCTCAGCCAACCGTGATGTCATTGTGAAAGCACATACCTAAGCAGTCATGTGGAAAACAGAATGCTGCCCATCGTAGTAAAGGAGAGCTTGTGCTTAGTAGGAATGGGATAACTAAGGAGTTCTGCAAAAGGGAACCCTGGCATGGAACTGGAGGGTTGGATTTGATAATCCTTGTGAGTCCTTTCCAATTCAGGATATTCTGTGATTCTATGGAGATGTCCCTTTCTGACAATGAAGTACTGTGTCAGCCAGGGCTCAGTCCAAGTGCCGACTCTGCTATAGTCAAGCTGTCCTGTACTGTGTAACAGACTCTTGCATGGTTTGCATTTTACACAGCTGCCTGTGTAAGATCTGGCTCCTACAACCTGTGGAAAACATTCTGTACAAGATGTTCTGGTAAAACAAAAATCTTTTATTTTAATGGGAATGTCAATGCATTTAGCTGAAAGGGGTAGTGAGTACTGGGGAAGGAGGAGGTGACTGCTAGTAGAGAAGAGGGTTGAACACATTTAAAACAGCAAATTATCTAATTCACTAATGCTTTCATTAGTGAACTTGATTAGAGAATTAATCAATGTGCACAGAAATATTGTGACTTCATCTTCAGCCTTGTGCTATCTTAATTTACCTTCTTGTCCAAAACCATGTCCAAAAATGTCCTGTATATTGAATTTAAAATAAAGTATTTTCTCTTGGTGAGGCGTAAATTACTAACCTGAAGCTTCCTATTTGTTCCAGGTTTTTAGGGTGAATTTGTTATTTGAGGCTTCTTGGGAAAAATAGACTAATAAACCATCTGATAAGTAGTCCCTTTGACAGCATAATGTGGGCACCAGGCTCTGTTCCAAAGCCTGCTGAAGTGAATGAAAAGATTCCCCTTGACCTCCCTGATCCCTGGATTACAAACTGAATGGGTGGCTGCACAGTTTGCCTGGCACCACCCAACTGCACATTTTTTCTGCAAGGGGTGGGGCTCTGCATGCACCCCTCTCCTCCTCCGTTTGTTTCTGATCCTGTGTCTCTGTGGTAGATCAGATCAGCTCTGCAATAGTACTGAAAACTGATTTAAGAAAAAAAAATCCAAGAACAATACATTTGAATCTGAGTGATTGTGGAGCGCCAAGACAAAGGTGCAACTATGCATTGGTCGTTTCATGTTTGGTATCTCAGATCAGGTACAGGAAGAACAGAATGGTTTAATTTAGCAAAACAGTTTGAAAAGAGATACATCTGTGTTTTGGGAGAGGTGAGAAGTTTCCTGTCACTGTGACTAGTGTGAAACACAAGTCTTTTGGTGGCTCTCTGTGCCCCAGTGATGCAGGACTGCTATGCTCCTCAGTGGGCAAGGCATAGGTATTTGCTGCTCTTTTGGTCCTGCAGAGCAATATTCCTCTTGAGTTTGCTGTGAAAAATGACTAGAAACAGAGGATAAGGACCTGAAGCACATGAGTAAAAGGTTCAAAGGGAAATGAGAATTTCAAAATGTGTTGAAGTAGAATGAGTTGCTTTTTGGTCCAGCTGAGCTGCAACCAAAACGCCTTGCTCAGGCAGCTACTTAATAAGTAAAAAAAAAAAAGAAAAGTGAAGTTGATGCTAAAATTTGACACTAGATATCTATCTACCTGAAATTTCCCAGCTTCCAGCTGCAGGTGCTATCCCTAGTTTTCCTTCTGTGCTGTCAGGTTATGGGTGCTCCCATTCAGCCTGGGGCTGTGGCTATTTCAGTGGTGGTTCAGTGCTCTAACAAGCACTGCTGTTTGTCAGAGGAGCCCCCACTCTGAAGCACTTATCTAAACTCAGAAAACTAATAATGTAAATCTTGGCCACTTGAATAGGGTCAGACTGTTCTCTCTCTTAACCAAGAAAAGAGAAAGAAAACCAGGTGTGGTGGAGGAGTCCAACAGGAGAGCTCCTGTTCACGGACCCAGTTTGTTCTTTTCTGCAAGTCATTATTTGCACTGGCCTCCAGCATGTCCCTGAGCAGAACCAACTGGAAATGGCTTCTATTTCTTATTTGTGTTGAACTGCAGCTGTACTTAGACAGCTTTTTAAGTTTTGATTAACTCCTTCAGGAGTTAAACTGAACCCAAAATAAATACTGCTGCAGCTCCCTGCTCCTGAATATAAGTAATTTCAAAGCCTGAATAAGGAAGCATCATTAACAAAGCATGACTCCAACCCATTAAAAAATGTTTTTCTTTGGATCCCAGCTGAGACATGATCCAATGTGCAAGAAAGCCTTCAGTGGAAAGTGCAAGCCCTTCAGTATTTTGAAACAGAGACTGCAGGGAACAGAAATCATCACTGAGAAGAAGCAGGCCCCACAAAAGCTATAGTTAAAATTGAAGTGTGTGTGTGTTATCTCCATATGAAGTCTTTCATTCAGTAACACTATTGTTTCCTCCAAGGACAAAGCCTGGATGTTACGGATGAGTCTCACATATGTGCTTGACCGGGTGCCAAATTCTTTCCTCCCCCTCCCTGTGCTGCTAGTGTTTGGGAATATTTCTCTGTTGAGAAGCCAAATCAGTAGGTGTCATGACTACCCTGGGTATGTAAGTGTCTCTGCTCTTCTAAAAAACATTAAAATATGCCTTTTAAAGACAATGTGAGAGTCTAACAGCTTCATTTTCACCTAAATCTGAAAGAGCATGATCCAAGATGGTTGATCCATGAATGCCCCATGTTGAACCTGAGAGCTATCAGTAGCCCCTTAAGTTACAGAGATTCACTGCTATTGAACTGAAGGGTTTAAAAATGTATTTAAGTTGAACTAATTTACAGAGATGGAGGAAAAGATGCTTTAGCTTTTACTGGAAGAAGTATATTTGTTGGGGAGGAAAGGAATACATGGATATGCATATGTATTATTTTACCCAGACATGCCAAATCATTGCTGATTTGATATCCATGCAGACTGCTGTTGTAAAATGTCCTTTAAAATCAGTTGTGGAAAGAAACAGAAGTGTGCAAAGGTTTAAAGCAAGAAGAATGTGACAAGTGGAGAGGGGAAGGTGTTGATCATAATGTCTTTTCTATTCCCTCTTAAGTGCTCTTTGGTCTGCCATGACCAGGGTGTTCTGTTGAAGCGCATTGTTCTTTTATCCATCTTCTGGTGCTGTCAATAGACAGTGAAGGTCTAAATCAGCTTTCCTATGCCTTTCAAAAAAAGCAAATTTCTTTTTTTTGTAATGCTTTTTCTTTCCCTCAGAAAGGAAGAACCCTTGCTCGAGAGAAGTATGGTTTGTGTCTTCTCTTATTTCTATTACAGAAACAGCTAGGGAAGAAATCTAACTGGAAGCAGAGGATTTTGTTAATACTTTTCAATCAGCCAAGCAGGTCACAAAAGCTCTGAAGGAGGGCCACCCTCTTCCACCTCCTCCCCCGCCAAGAATGAATCCAGGTTTGTGGTCTACTTTATATTGTTGCTGTTCTTGGACTGATCTTTGGTAAAGCAGTTACCTCTTATTAACCGCAGATGGGCTTCAGTTTTGCACCCCTGGCACAACACAGTGTGAACATTAATTCCCTCCATAATTGTGTAGGAGTGCAAAGCAGAGGCAGTGAGGAGGAAGAGAAAACTAACTGTACCTCTTAAGTTTAAAGGCAGCAAGCTTGGAACTTGATATTAACGCTTTGGGAGGAGAGTCCGGATAGCTGTACTACAATATAACAGAGGGTGAAATAGATCCTCTCGCCATTCAAAACAACTGTACTGCACACAGGCTTCCCCACTCCCACGTGGTGGCTTTTCCACTGTCTCCTTCCCCTCCCAGCTGTGCAGTTAGGGGAAGTCATTTAGCAAAAGACAGGTCTGGTTTACTACAAATACCAGGTTTGGTCTCTGCACAGAGCTCACTGTATTACAAGTTACAGATCCAAAATGATGTACATACAGCCAATATATCATGATAATGTGATTTATAAAATGTGGGAGCAATCTTGGAAAGGGTCTCAGTGGAGTCCTGCCTGCATTAGGAAGGCAGAGAACAGGAGGGGGACGGGGGGCTCTCTGGGCTCACTTCCAGAGTAGGAATTCATTACTGATAGCAAAAGCATCTGCCATGATTCCAGCCTCTCTCCTCTCCTAGATGATGGTGATGCAGTATAAGCAGCAGGACTCCTCTTCCTTCCTTGATTGGGGTCAAACTTCTCTCTGAATTTCCACTGCTGAATTCTTTAATGACTCTGTTATTTCTTGTCTAACTTTACCAACTCTAAGAGCAGACCCTCCCTTTCCTTCTCCTTATTGGAGGAATCCAAGTTCTGCAAGAGCAGCAGTAGTTGTGGAGAAATGAAGTAAATAACTGCTTTTTAGGGAGGACAAGTTGCTGAGTGGCCTAGTGAGGGTGTATATCCTATAGTACAGGACTATATATTCCCATATTACAGGACTGGAGAGAAAGTACATGGATTTTGGGAAGGAGAGAGATATTCCCTTTTCCTCTCATCCTTCTCCAAACAGAGCCCAAAACCTCCCCATTTTCCCCTGAAGTTCCAGGTGCCCCTACCAGCCCCCTGAAGCCAGGCATCTCTGTTCACAACCATTATGCCCATGATGCTGATCTGGAGCTGGCTTTTGATGGCTGCTTGCACCATTTTTTCTGTATTATTACAGAGAGAAAGGGTTTCTAAAGCTGCTATATCCTTAGTATTAGGATAAGGACACTTGGACTTCTTTTGTAAAAAGCACAGGACAGAGAGAAAGGGTCTGGGAATGACAAGGACAGTGTGATGGCTGAATTGTGACTGTGCTGACCCTGAACACTGTTCATTGAAATGAGTCATACTGCACCAGCCATGTGTCCCTGAATAGTTTTTAGTAGAATCAGGACTGTAAAACTGTCAGAAAAGACTTTAGAAAGCATGACTGTGTGTTCTTCACAATGCTGCTTCACACTCAGAAACCTGGCTCTTAGATGTGCCTTGGCTGGTGGGGCAAAACTTCTTCAGCAGTGGTTTGCTAAATCACAGAATGAATTTGGTTTTAAAAGACCTCTGAGATCATAGAGTCCAATCTATGACCCAACACCACCATGTCAATTAGACCATGGCATTAAGTGCCACATCCAGTTAAATGCCTCCAGGTGACCCACCACCTCTCTGGACAGTCCATTCCAGCATCTAATCACCCTTCCTGTGAAGAAATTCTTCCTAATGTCCAACCTAAACCTCCCCTGGTGCAGCTTAAATAATATCCTTTTGTCCTGTCCCTCGCTGCCCGGGAGAAGAGGCCGACCCCTACCTGGCTACAATCTCCTTTCATGTAGTTGTAGAGAGCAATAAGGTCTTCCCTGAGCCCTTTTTTTCAGGCTAAACAACCCCCTCACCCTCAGCTGCTCCTCACAGGGCTTGTGCTCCATTCCGTTCACCAGCTCTGTTACCCTTCTCTGGACACACTCCAACACCTCAATGTCCTTCCTGAAGTGAGAGGCCCAAAACTGAACACAGGATTTGAGGTGTGGCATCACCAGTGTTGAGTACAAGGGAAGAATCACTTCCCTGGTCCTGCTGGCCACAATATTGCTGATACAGGCCAGGATGTCATTGACCCTCTTGGCTGGCTGTTGACCAGCACCCCCAGGTCCTTTTCCACGTGGCCACTTTCCAACCACACTTCCTCCAGCCTGTAGTGCTGCATGGGGTTGTTGTGGCCTAAGTGCAGGACCTAGCACTCGGCCTTGTTGAAATTCATACCATTGGTCTCATCCCATTGATCCAGCCTGTCCAGATCCCTGTGTACAGCCTTCCTACCCTCCAGCAGATCAACACTCTGACCCAGCTTGGTGCCATCCACAAATTTACTATGGGTAAATTCTATCCCCTCATACAGATCATCCATAAAGATATTATACAGGACTGAGCCCAACACTGATCCCTTGGGGACACCACTTGTGACTGAATGCCAGTGGGTCATTCACGCGTGGCACCATTCCCTAGCACTCTCTGGGCCCAGCCATCCATCCAGTTCTTAACCTGGCAGAGAGTGCTCCTGTTCAAACTTGGGCTGTCAGCTTTTCCAGGAGTATGCTGTGCGAAATGGTGTCAAAGGCTTTGCTGAAGTCTAGGTAGACTACATCTTCAACCATTTCCTCATCCACCAGGCGGGTCACCCGGCCATAAAAGTAGATCAGGTTGGTCAGGCAGGACCTGACTTTTCTACACCTGTGCGAGCTGGGTCTGATCCCTTGGTTGTCCTGTACGTGCTGTGTGATGGCACTGAAGATGATCTCCTCCATAACCTTCTCCAGCACTAAGGTCAGGCTGAAAGGTCTGCACTTCCCCACATCCTCCTTCCGGCCACTCTTGGGGATGGGCATCACATTAGCCAACCTCCAGTTTTCTGGGACCTCCCTGTTTAGCCAGGATTGGTGATAAATGATGGAGAGTGCTTCTTCCAGCTCCCTCACCCTAGGATGAATCTCATCTGGTCCTACAGACTCATGAGCATCTAAGTGGCTCAGCAGGTCACAAACTACTTCCTCCTGGATTATGAGGTATCCGTTCTGCTTCCCGTCCCTGCTTACCAGCAGGGGGCCAGGGAATAACCGGTCTTACTGCTGAAGACTGAGGCAAAGAAGGTCTTAAGTACCTCCGCCTGTTCCTCATCTTTGATGGCTATATTCCACCCGGCTCCAATAAAGAATGAAAGTTTTCCTTAGCCCTCCCTTTGTTATTAATGTATTTGTAAAAACACAAGTGGCCAGGTTAAGTTCTAACTGAGCTTTTGCCTTTCTAATCTTCTCTCTACATGACCTAACGACATCCTTAAACACTTTCTGAGTTGCCTGCCCCTTTTTCCAAAGGTAATACACCCTCTTTTTTTCCCTATGTTCCTGCAAAAACTCTGTGCTCAGCCAGGCTGATCTTCCCTGCCAACTTGTCTTTTGGCACATAGGGACAGCCTGCTCCTGTGCCTTCAAGATTTCTTTCTTAGAGCATGTCCAGCCTTCCTGGACCCCTTTGTTTTTAATGGTTGCTTCTCCAGAGACTCTCTAAACTGGTGTCCTGAATAGGCTAATGGCTGCCCTCCAGAAATCCTGGGCAGAGGTTTTGTTGATGCCCCTCCTTACTTCACCAGTTATTGAAAATTATGATATCGTGGTTGCTGTGCCCAAGATCGCCTCTGACCACCACATGTCACACCAGCCCTTTGCTGTTTGTAAACATCAGGTCTAGCAGGGCCTCACCCCCAGCTGTGACTGGAGGTTGTCTTCCACATACTCCAGGAACCTCGTAGACTGCCTCCTCTCTGCTGTGCTGAGTTTCCACCAGGTTAAAGTCTCCCACAAGCTGGTGATTGTGAAATATCAGCCAGCTGCTTATAGAGCAGTTCATCCACCTCTTCATACTGGTTGGGTGGTTTATAACAGACTTCCACCAGGATATGTGCCTTGCTAGCCTTCCCCCTGATTCTCACCCATAGGAACTCAACCTCATTGTCCTTTCCTTAAGCTCTATGCAGTCAAAACACTTCCTAATGTACAGAGCCACCCCACAGTCTCTCCTTCTCCTGTCCCTTGTGAAGATCTTATAACCATCCATTGCAGCATTCCAGTCACGTGAGTTATCCCACCACACTTCTGTGATGGCAACTATGTCGTATCTTTCCTGCTACACAATGGCTACCAGTTTCTCCTGTTTGTTACCCATACTGCATTGATTCCTTTTCTCCCTTTTAGACAGGTGAAACCCATCTGTCTCCAGCAGGCCTGGTGCCGTACAAATAGCCCCATGATAAGAAAAAACAAAATTCCACTGATGGCACCAGTCTTTAAGCTACTTGTTGATCGTGTGGGTTTTTCTGTTCCTTTCAGCGTTCATCCCTTCTACCTAAGAAACTGAGGAGAATGCCACATGTGTTCCTGTCCCTTCAACCAGGCAGCCCAGTGCCTTGAAGTCCTTTTTGATTACCCTAGTACCCTTCTTATCCACCTTATTGCTGCCAGCCTGGACAACCAGTAGCGGGTAATAATCAGAGGGACGAATTATTCCAGGGAGTCTCCTTGTAATATCCCTTACCTGGACCCCAGGGAAGCAGCAGACTTCTCTGTGGGATGGGTCTGATCAGCACACAGGACCAACAGTTCTCCTCAAAAGTGAGTCACCGCCTACAACTACCCTTCTTTTTTTCTTAATACCTGTAGCTGTAGTCTGTCTGGCTGACTGCACTGATTTAGGAGATCTCCCCAGAAAGACGTTCTTCTTCACTGTCATCTGCCTGACCCTCAAATTCCAGGGCCTCATACCTATTCTGTAAGGGCTCCTGGAAAGGTGAGGGAGGCCGGGAAAGGATTTTTCTACCTTCCCAGGCAGGGACTTGTTTCCACTCCCCCATTTTATGTCTTCTGTCTGATGGCAAGAGGGCAGGGCTCCTCTGACTTGCTGAGCTTCCATTTGCTGCATTTCTCTCAGGGATGGAAGGATGCAACTCCGCTAGTTTATTTTTCTTTCACACTCTTTGATACTCCTCAGCACCTCCACCTCCTCTTTAAGCTCTGCCACCAGGCAGAGCAGATCATCCATGAATTCAGACTGTATGCAGGTGTCTTTTCCGCTGTCCTCCGGCACTTAACACCAGGCTTAGACACTCCATGCTGCCAGAGACCTGTAAAGCTGCGTGCTTCTTGTGGAGCTCTGTCTGGGTTGCCACGCTCCTACTAGCAATGGCTTCTGACCATGTGTACACCATTTCTGGGTCTATTCTAGTTGGGCAGTTGAAGAACCACCAGGTGAGGTGGGCTTACCTCAGGAGCTGGGAGGGTGGCTGTGCCCTCCTACAAGCTCTGCCTGCACCAACTGCTGCACCACACTCCCTGGAGCCATTTAAACCTCCTGGCAATGCCCTCTCCTTGCCTGATGAGCTTCCGAGGGCTTCCATGTCCTGCAGAACAGGGCTCTGGCCTGCTGCTCAGGAGTCCCTGGGCTCAGGAACTCTCTGTACAGGTCTATCTAACCCTCAACCACAAACTTACCTCAGTCGATGTTGCTGCCACCTCAACAAAATAGCAACCTTAATGACCAGTCTTCAAAAGTAGTCTTAAAATCTTTGGGTTTGTCTATGCTAGGAATTTTTGAATAATGCTGTTCCTGTAGACTTGTTAATTACGAGGTTGGGGGTGGCCAGGAATAGGACAAATATAATAAAATCTGCTTTTATTAATCTCCAGGGATTTATTTTTGAAAGCAATTACTGTTTGCTGGGTTAATACCATAAACACATATTTTAGGATCCCAAGTGTTTTTCTAGAGAAAGTTTTTATAGTTCTCCAAGGTATGTACTTTGGGAGCTGATGGGAACTCATCATGGTTACCTGCTGGTGGAGCCAGGTTTTGAACTGCATCTTGAGTGCTCCAGGAAAGCAGGGCAATTTTTCTCCTGTACTGTATAAACTGTGACACAAGCTGTTCCTTTCTTATGGTCAGACTATATTCAGTGTCCACACTGCTCACAGCGGTTTCGTGAAGCTGCAGCACAGAGGCACATGGAGTTTTCTGAAGAACAAGCTGTCTACCATGCTGCAAAGACCACTGGACAGGCTTCGGTAAGTACACAGTCACATTTGCGTGGTCCTGGAGGCAGATTTGCCAAACTTTAGTTCATGGTGAGTAAAGACCTATATTAATATAAAACTCTTAAACAAGGTACATGCTGAATATCAACTGGGAGTTGCCCATAACTGGAGCCCTTTGTCTGATGAAAAACTGACAGAGTATGACAGTATGAAAAAGTTGGGAGATAATTTCCTCAGGCTCTTCTGCAATTGGATTCCAGGGTAATTCCAGGTAGTTCTGCTGTAGGGAAGCAGAAAACTGGCAACTTTTGCAATACACAGAGAAAGCTCTTCCTGTCCATTAGGGCTCCCTGCTGTTGGAAGGTCTGCTGTTCCCTTGTCTTTAGACACAAGGCCAAAGGGCTGAGCCCCTTTGAGGGATCAGAAAAGTGAAGGTAATCATCAGTCTCTTGAAGTGAGATTTCATTTTGTTATAGAAAAAAGAATAATGTAAACTGTTCCTTTAGGAGAGTACTGGGGTTTTGTTTGTTTGTTTGTTTTGTTAAAGATATTTGAAAATATTATTACTCTTTCACCTATTTTGGGCACGAAAAATGACTTCCAAGTGAGAGAGGGTGGACCTTTTTCCTGTTCCTTCTAGCACTGCTTCAACAGCGATTTGGAGAGTTTTCACTGGGCTCCGTAAGTTCCTTGCTAGAGTTGAGTGGTGATTGTGCATCTTCTTTTACTAGGACAAGCAGCCATTGACTCAGAGAAAAACTCCAACATTAACACCTGCTGTGTTATCGCTTCTGGAGAGAGTACAAAAAGGTGTCAACACAGACAAACCTAGCCTAGGTAGAGTTCATTTAGTCATATTTATGTCTTTCTTGTAATGAACTCTGATGTATTTGAGGTGAGCGAGGCATTTTTAAAGCAGATCATAGGCTTTGGAATCCAGTTTTCTGATAGAATAATGTTGAATTATAAATTTTGACTTTTTGTGGGTTTTTTTTTTAAAGTCTTGACATGAAAACCTAAACTCATTTCCATACAGGGTCAAAAATTTCCAAGTGGATGTTGTTGATATTGAATGGTCATTATTCCTGGTCATTTTCCTGCTCCATTGTGTGGAGTGTATGCCCAGAGGTTTTCATTTGGGTGCTCAGGAGGTGCTTATTGTTTTCATTTAGAGGTCCTCAAACAGAAGTATTTCTATAGACCTAAAATATACAATCTCTGTTTGAGATTTATTCTGTCCCATAAAGGACTCCATAACCTTTAATCTTCAATTTTAAGATTTATTCTATCATTTTTACCTTTTCTTAGGTCCATTTAGCTGAAGTATGAAGTATGTTGTTTGTTCCATATGACTTTGCCCTTGTTGATTTAGCCTTAAAAGTAACACCACCACTTCCCTAAAACAGTTCCCTCTATATAATGTGTTTTCTAGACCCCATTGCTACTGGTTAATCATGACTCATACTCAGTCTATGTTTAGAAGGTGTTTTATAAAGTATTTTAAAGTTTCTTTGTAGTATAACATGTGACTGATAATACAAACTGCTCTTTGTATCAGTATCTTTGATCCCTACATTTCTGGAGTTTGTGTTGAATTTATATAGTTTATCATGTTTTATGGCCAATAATTTTTTTAAATAATGATCTGCAGAGACCTCTTTAGAAATACTGAAGAAAACTGGAAAATCTTGGGGTGTATCTACTGGGAAAAATTCTTCAGGAAAGTTTGGGTAAGAATTTTTTTTTTGTATTTCAACATTATCACATAAAAGGACCCTGATTGCTTTTGTGATACACCATATCACAGAATCACAGAAGCACACAATATGCTGAGATGGAAGGGACCCACAAGGATCATCAAAGTCCAACTCCTGGCCTTGCACAGGACCATCCCCAGAAGTCACACCACGTGCCTGAGAGCATTGTCCAAACACTTCCTGAATGCTGTCAGGCTTGGTCCTGTGACCACTTCCCTGGGGAGCCTGTTCCAGCACCCAACCACCCTCTGGGTGAAGAACATTTTTCTAATATCCAACCTAAACCTCCCCTGACACAACTTCAGGCCATTCCCTTGGGTCCTGTCACTGGTCCCCACAGAGAAGAGATCAGTGCCTGCCCCTCCTCTTCCCCTCACAAGGAAGTTGTAGACTGCAACAAGGTCTCCCCTCAGTCTCCTCTTCTCCAGCTGAACAGGCCAAATGACCTCAGCTGCTCCTCATACAGCTTCCCCTCGAGGCCCTTCACCATCTTTGTTGCCCTTCTTTGGACGCTCTCTAAGAGCTGAATATCTTTCTCATATTGTGGTGCCCAAAACTGCACACAATATTCAAGGTGAGGCCACACCAGTGCAGAGCAGAGCGGGACAATCCCCTCCCTCACCCGGCTGGTAATACTTTGCCTGATGCCCCCCAGGACATGTTTGGCCCTCCTGGCTGCCAGGGCACTGCTGACTCATATTCAACTCGCCATCGACCAGGACCCCCATGTCCCTTTCCATGGCACTGCTTTCCAGCATCTCATTCTCCAGTCTGTACGTACATCCAGGGTTGCCCTGTCCCAGGTGCAGAATCCAGCACTTTCCCCTGTTAAACTTCATACGGTTGGGGATTGCCCAGTCCTCTGATTTGTTGAGGTCTCTCTGCAGGGCCTCCCTGCCTCTGAGAGAGTCAACAGCTCCTCCCAGTTTTGTGTCATCTGCAAACTTGCTCAGTATCCCTTCCAGTCCTGCATCCAAGTCATTTATGAAGATGTTGAAGAGCACAGGGCCCAAGACAGAGCCCTGTGGAACCCCACTAGTGACAGGTCACCAGTCTGGTGTCACCCCATTCATATTACCCTCTGTGCTCAACCCGTGAGCCAATTGCTCACCCACCACATGATGTGTTTATCCCGCTGTGTGCTGAACATTTAGACCAGAAGGATCCTGTGAGAGACAGTATTGAAAGCTTTACTGAAATCCAAAAAGATGACATCAACAGGCTTCCCTTGATCAAGTAGGTGCATTAGCTTGTCATAAAAGGAAATTCAGGTTTGATAAGCAGGACTTTCCTCTCATGAAGCCATGCTGGCTGTGACCAATGACAGCATTGTCTTTCAGGTGTTTTTCAATATATCCTGTTACAGTGTTGGCAGTATGAGCTTCTTTGTATTATTTGAAGCAATTAGTTGTACTGAAACTTTTGTGGAGCTCCTCAGGCCCCCAGTGTAGGCTGATGAGAAATTAATTTTGGAATTAAATGTTCTTTCTTTTGGAACAGCCCTATCTCAGGTAGGCAGTGGCTGTGCTCTGTAACAGGCATCTTGAGAGGATTTGCTGCTCGATAATGCAAACCTCTCCGACAGATGTTGTGCTCTCACAATTTCCCAGAACATGGTGTTTGGGCTTCTGCTCCTCAGACCATGCAGTCAGTGGGGTTCCTGTTTTGGGCCATGCAAAGCCATGTCAGAGCAGCAAGAAGGCCTCCAGCTCCTGTTTGAGGTGGTCATGGTGCTATTGCTCCAAGGGATGGCTCAGGTGATCAGCATCTTGCACCCCTGTGACATGTATACAACTGCAGAATATGAGATCCCAGCAGGAAATGTAGCCAAGAATTATTCCTTATAGCTGGCAAGGTATTTTGAGCCTGGGAGATGAGCTTGTGAGAGTGCTTGGAGCATAGGATGAAGAGAAATGTGCACAAAACAGAGTCTCACATTCCAAGTCACTGCAGGGGTCTTCTATGTGCAGTTTTGCTGTCCTTGATTGCTGCTGGTCAGTGCCTGATACCTTCAGTTGTGGGGAAGAGTGCAATGGGCATGGTGCTATTATGAGCTCCACCTACCTCGATGACTTTACCAGCTGCAGGAAAAACTGCTGTCAGTACCCAGTAGTCTCATCTGGTGTTCTCCACTCCCCAGATTACCTGTGACTATGTACCTGTGACTATGTTAACAGTATAATAACTCTTAAGGTTACCATGCAGGGTCTGTCAGACCAGCAACAGGGACTTATTGATGCCATCACCATTCTTAAAAGTTTATCCACTGAACTCTGAAACCTGGGGCTTAGCATGCTTGGGGAGGAGACACCTCTTTTCCCTAGGGATACTGGCGAGTCCAGGTATCACTGGGGTTGTAGTTGCAGCCAGTTTACAGAGGCTTGGGACAACCATTGCCTCCAGCAGTCCCCAGGACAGGCATCCACACTAGCATCCAAAATAGAGCACAGTGGAACTGTGGAAAGGCCTGGCTTGGGTGAGCTTGCAGGTGCTGGACTGTTGGCAGCTGCTGCATTTTCTATAGAATTTGAGCTTTGCCAGGTGCTTTACAGAGCACTTTGTGCAGGCAAAGGATCAGTTTCAGTGCTACTCAAGAGCACTTTTTAGCTGAGAAAGCAGATGTGAGAAACTAGCTTTGAATGGTGTAAATAAATCCTTAATCTGCCTGGAAATGGTTTTCAGGATGAGCTGCTCCATCACCTTCCCAGGGATAGAGGTTTAATTTTCTTAAATAAAATGGAGTAAAATATAAAAACTGTTTCTATAATAGGAAATAGCAAGTATTTGGCTTGTTGCTGCTTTTAGACCGCAAATGGACAACAGAAGATAGAGTGGCTGGTTGGCGAGGATGTGTTAAGGCTTTCTTCTAACACATTATGGAAGATCTCAAGCAACACAATTTTCCAGTACCACTTCTGCCTGAAGTTCTACAGCTACCACATTCAATAAAATAAGCAAACTGAAATTCATTGATTGTGAGAGTATTTGTATTAGTTGCCAAGATTTAATTAAATGATTGCCTGCAGGGGATTGCTATTACCATGGGTTCATTAAATGGTTTAACAAAATGTAGAAAGATCCAGTACCATGTTATTTTTCCTTTCCCCTAATGCTTTGATATATTGAACAAGACAAGCCAACATTCTGGAATTTCATGTAAATATTTAATAGAATCTTGCAGTAAACAATAAAATGATTAATGATAGTGATTGATATGTGATAAATGGTGGTGTATACTGTGCATCTTTTTCAAAGCACTTCAAGTTCAGATTAAACTCAAACCTCATTCTTGCATTAAACACTTAAATTGCTTCTAGAAATTGATTAATAAGACAGAAATATTGTGGAGGCATACCCTTATTTTTTTGGCCACTTGATCCACTGTCAGCCTTGGATCACCTTGCATAAATTTTCAATGATGCAACATGTAGGGTTTTTTTAGCTTAATAATTTTCATTAAGGCTTTCCATTAAAATCCATAAGGAATTTTCTTACCTATTAAATACTTAAAAAGTAAACAAAGATAAAAAGTAGTTGGACACAACAATAGGAAATATCAGACTTTACAGAGTTTAATTAAACTCTACTTAGGCTTTAGCCAATAATGATTAGATAAATACAGAAAGGATGACACTGAAGCAAACATAAGTCCTACGCTAGACTCTTAGAAACAGCAGGCATGACATTATCCACAATATACTAAAGCAGTGCTGCTTAGCCTTTCTTAAAATCCAGAAAGAAGAGGGAAAAAAAACCCCAAACACATTCCCCACTATCCTGTGCAATGTTACCACAGTTGCTTTCTTTAACAAAAAAATAAATGAATCCTCAAAAGTTAGAGCAAGTTTTACTGTATTTGTTGTTGTGTGTGTCCCCCAATTATTTTCTGTCTGAGTACAAAAGTGTTTGATTTCACAGCTTAGTTTCTAGTAGCTTACAAAAAATATAAGGGCAGGAACGGTGTACTGAAGAACAGAATTTTAAAAATTCCATTAGCAAGAAATGAACCAATCATTAATTTATGGAATGTAACATCATAGTTCAGACTGGCAGTGCAAAATTCTCTGGAATTAACAGCAGCTCATTGATGAAGAAAATGGAAAGTCCCAAGAGAAAAAACTGGCAAATAAAATAGAAGGAAAAAGAAATTAACATCGTTTCTGATAGAGGATGGAACTTAGCAATAAAACTACTTGTGTTTACATAGAGGGTGCAGTCTTTTGTTCAATGTAGTATAATTTTAGCTTCTTGACATTATTTCAGCAGGTTTACATGCCTTTTTTTCTTTCGTAGAATGAGTACACGTTTTTGTATGACACCAAATGTTTACTAAATTTTGTTATTTGTTAGTATCATTTGATTATAGTAATTCTGTTTTATCACCACATACTGCTCTGCTTCTACAGATTTTCAAGCAGAGTTTAGATAAAAAAGTATTTTTATCTCTATTAGGATGGGAGGTAAAATGTCCTAAGATCTCCCAGATCTTTCTGTTTCATCTCTTAACTGGTATTCCATGGTCTACCTTACGTTCTCCATGCCAGCTCTCTGCTCTTGGATTCTCCTCTCACATTTAGCGGAGAAATTGGCTGTGCCAGAGAGGAGGGAGGATTGGACACTGCTTGGGCTGCTGCTTTCCTCCACTATACCCCTAGTGTACGTGAGGTTGCCTCTCCTCACACTGCCACTGTCACAGCCCTGCATGAGCCAAAGGCAGTGCCACCAGAGAGATGTCCTGTAGCTCTTGCTGCCTTCTCCCCTGTCACTGCCTGAAGTCAGACCTGCCTGCCCGCCTGCTGCAGCCCCATCCCCTCAGACACCACAGGTAACCCCAGGTGAGCTTGCTGCTGTCTCCACACCTTTCTCTTGGCACTGCCCCCTGCCAAAATGAAACTACTGCTCTTTAAGCAATGTGATATTCAAGCCCACACCAGGCTGGTCTACTGAGCCCAAAATATTTGTTTGCCTAGAAACAAAGTATTTTTCAGTTTCAACTACTGGAGGCCTCTCAAAAATGGTCACAGAGGTCCCCCTAGCAAAAGTGGTGAGAAAGTCCAGCCCTACTTACAGTATTAGATGACTTCATTAGATCTCTTCAGCTGTGAGAATTTTAAAACAATTTTATTTAAAATATAACTTTTTGAAATAGCTTGCTTTCCTTTGTGATGGGACATGCTCAGCTTTCACTACATTTATGATGTCAAGAATCTGGAAAAAGAAACTTGAATGGGCTGACAGGTTAAAGCTGCAGTACTACACATTTAAGGTTTGTTTCTCTGTTTTACTTGCCAACACCATCATTGTATGTTTTGTTAAGCATTTTAAAATGCATCAAAAGTGGTAATTTTCATTTTATTTGAATGAGACTTGGTCTTTAACCCATAGCTAGATACGCATTGGTGACAGCTGCTTATCATTCTGTATTTCAGAAGAGGCTGAGTTCAGGCAGCAGCACCTCTTCTGACAGCTCAGAGCTCAGGCACTCTGCTACAGAGTGCTGAAAGACAGCAGAAAGAACGCGGGTGCCACTTTAGCTCAGTGTTTGCATAATGATTCCTTCTTAACATCACATTTTAATTCAAGGACAAGGACTTCAGTAATTATTTACATCTCTTACAAAAGCACGAATCAAAATGACAAAATGTGTATATGATCAGGCAATGCTACAAAATTGAGTAGTTTTTTTTGTTGTGATTTAGTTGTTGGTTTGTTTTTTTTTTACAGGTACATACAGAAGTTTGGATGAAGACAAGTGAATACAGTTTGCACAAACAAGGAAAACAATGCAGTAAGTGAATATAAACACATCTTTCCAAGTTCAGAGGAAAATAAGAGCCAAGCTGTAGAATATGCATGTAACATTGATTACAACTTTTTCTCTGTTCTGGAACTCATAATTTAAATAACTCTTAACTGGGTGTGACTATGCAGCGCCTGCTCTTCCTCTTGCTGTTGTCATTACAAGAATGATCTTAAGATTCCTTTTGGTTTGCCTTATGCCAAAAATTTTCATAACAAAAAACACCCCTCAGCATTGCATCTGCAGAACATATTCTTGCATGAACTGTATAATACAACCTTTCCTTAATCCAACTACCAATAAACTTCTAAGAATATTAGATCATTGAAGTCGTACAATGTCATTGTAGCTCAGTAACACCAAAACAGAAATAACTTAAAAACTACTTTTTATTTGAACCTGTCTGAAAATATTTCTCTGATTAATGAGGGAGAAGAGAACATGCATGTTTCATGCTACATTTGTAATGATCATTAGGTACTATGAACTCTTTTTGGATTTAATGAGAGAGTAGCTCTTGGGGTTTGAGAATTTACCCAGATTCAGAAATTTTGTGTCTGTTTTAGCAGCAACAGAATCCATTACTCACTGCATCATCCACTAATGCCAGGATTATTTTTTTTCAACTACATTTTGTGAAGAGTCTGATTGTTGGTTTTGGTTTGTTTTTTTTTTTTTTAATAATGTCATCTATCAGGAAATGTGATTTTTGCAATTTCTGCTCGTTCATGCATCAGGTGCTAGGACTGTCACACCAACAAACTGTCAACTGGAAATATTCATGGACAATTTATCCCAGGAAACAAAACGGAAGTCCCCATGGTTCTGGTTTGGAAGAAACAAAGGCTGGAAGTCCAACTGTAGCTGTCCCAGTGCTACTGAGGAAAAATCCCATGATTAAAATGGCCTGAACTGTTATCACACCCACTAATTTTAGGTGACACTTGTGAGGCAGGTTCTGACCCTGTTTTTGACCCTGGCCCAGTGTCAGCTCACCACCACAGCCCTTATGTGCGTGGACATGCCCCTGGCCCCAGAGAGGTCCTGCTTGGGCGCAGGCACCCCTGGGCCAGGGTTTGCTTTCTGAAAGCCCACGTTTCAGATGGTTACAATTAATAATCATTTTCCAGACTAAAGAAAGGCCATTTTTATCAACAAAAGGTGAATAAAGGCTTCTTAGGTAGGAAGCATTATATTTTATTAAATGTCAAATTAATCAAGCTGTTGACCCTGTGGGAGAAAATGCTTAAATTTAAGCAAATGTTTAAGTGCTTTACTAGAGAGAGAGAGAAAGCAGTGCCTGATACCTTGGCAGATCCGGCTCTAAATGAAAACTAAAGTTTTGTTATAACCTTTGAGACAATTCACTTTCCATTCTGAAAACTGCACATATACAAGATAGCAGTTCTTACACAGTCATTCAGAAGTGATAGTTGCCTCCAGCCCAAGGGAAAAGGCATGAGATGCACACAGCTGAACTGCATGTCAGAAAACAAAATCTAGTTAAACGTAATCATAATAGTGATGATCTTCATTTGAAAAAAGTGAAACAAGGAGGTAAGATTTACTCTTGGAATGATTCTGATTTAAATTAAAGATTAATAAACTTCATTAATTAAGTGCTTAACAGAAATCTATGTGATATTGATAATCTGTTTGTTACATTTGCCATGTGTACAAATTTGCTGTGATTTATGGCTCATTAAAATGATTTTTCTGTGATTTCCCCCTTCTTCCCATTCACCTTAACCTTATTTCTGCTACTGCAGCAGCCATAGTTTTATTGTGCCTGTTATGATACTTTTCTATTGTTGAAGATATTTATTCAGTTGTTCGCATGAAAGGTAACAACAAAAATATAGAGGGAGCTGAGGGAAATATGTTAGTTCTACTGTTGTCATATGCTAAAAAAACTAATAGTAGTATGAAAAATAGAGCTTCTTATTTATTAACATCCTGAATTTAACTACCATGTTCATAATGTGTTTTGAAAACATTCGGAGCAGTTTTTCTTAAAAACAAAACAAAACCAAAACCACCCCATCCTAACAGATTTAAGTAAGAAGCACAGTCTTAAAAAAAAAAAAAAAGGGAAAAAAACCCACACAGGGTGATAGTTACTTGAAGGCATGGTGAAAATGAGGCAAGGTTACAGAATTTGTAGTGGATGGAAAGGAGCGAGGAAAATGATGCAGCTGGTTTAGGGCCATCCCACCAGTTGCTAGCTGAAGACCTTGCTGTTGGCCAAGGCCATTCAGCCTGTGTGATGGTTCCTCTGGGCCAAATGCCATTGTGAAGTCCCCAATAGTGTTCTGGTTGTCCCCTGGTGGGAGCTGCCAGAAACTCATCACATGAGTGAGATCCATGAAAGGCAGACTTGTAGTTTCAGTTGCTGCCTCTGTCTCTTTGTGCACTGGGTACTTGTTAGTATCCCCTACAGGCCCTGAGGAAGCTTCTTCCATACTGATTTTGTGAAGAGACTGAGGTTCTGGTAACGGCAGGTCCTCGAGAAGATGCACATTGTAACCTTTAACATCCACTTTTATTGGTAGATTCTTGAGGGATCCTGCTGCAAGTGAGGTAGAACTAAGGTCATATTTATTAGGCTGATGAAGGTTCAGGTTGGTAGGGACGGCTGTTGAACATGGTGTGGGATGGACAGCTGGAAGGCTGTCTGCACAGCCCATCCTTTGCAAGTGAGGAGAAGGTTCAAGAGGAAGAGCAGTTTGTAAGCTTGGCTGGGAATGAAGATGTGAACAGTTGTATTCCTCTGATTCTGAACTATTCACAATACCATTCTGCACAGAGACCCTTTCAGGAAGAGGGGACAGCATGCTGGCATCTTCCTTCAGTCTGTATGGAAAAAGCTGGTCAAGGAGACCCACTGAGTCACTGTTCTGCAACCTGCTCTTTAGCAGTTCCTGTGGATGAGTCTTCCTGGTATGGCGTGTCAAGTGGTCCTTCCGCCCAAACCTTTGGGCACAAAACTGACACAGAAAGTCTTTACAGCCTGTGTGAACCACCATGTGACGCCGCACATCTTTGCGGGTATAGAAGTGACGCTCACAGTGGTCACATTTATGTTTCTTTTCCTTCATATTGCCAGCTGGTTTCCCTGCATGACTTTTGAGATGTTCCAACAGAACCTCAGTACCGCCAAACTCTTGGGCACATACCCTACAGGTAAGGTCCCCACTGGTGGCAGCGTGAAGAGCCAAGTGTCTCTTATAGCCTAGCTTGGTGTTGTACTTCTTGCCACACTCTTCACACTTGAAGGCCATCTTGTTAGGGTCATGAGTCTGAAGGTGATTCTTTAGATGGTCTTTCCTGTGAAAGGTCTTTTCACAGTAGCCACATTGGTGAGATTTCTGTGGAGAATGAGTAGCAGAGTGCCTAGGACAAAAAAACAGAACACACACACAAAAAAGTTATTTGTGTTTACATTTATTCTAGTACATTTACTCTCGCATATTCAAGACTTGAAAACACCGGCATCCTTGAAGGAAGGCCTTTTTTCAAGTTCCCAGGTTATTAGTAAAACCCTAAAATTTTTTTTGGGGGGAAAGGTTTTAATCATCAATCATAGAGTAGGTTAAAACTGCTCAACACAGTCTTTTTGACAGCCACCACAATTAAGGGAAACTAGTTTTCTCCAATTCTACCCAAACAAGAATAATAAAACCTGGAACTCAGGGATTAACTGTCACTAGAACACCCCTCACATCCAGCAGAAAAGGAATGCCTTCAGAGCTGTACCTGAGCAGTTTATATTTGGAAATGAAGGCTTTTGTGCATCCGTGCTGTGAACACTTGTAGGGGCGCTCCCCTTTGTGCGTGTAAGTGTGGACCGTGAGCTTGTCAAAGGAATCAAATATCTTCCCACAGAGTCGGCAAGGGTAACTGTCTGGCTGCTTCACTTCTTTTCCCTTCAACAGTGAAGACCGACCATTTCTCCATTTAGGTATAAACCTCACGAGAGCATCACAAGTGCTTCCTGAGCTGGCACAGCTAAACTTTGCAGCAGAGGAACAGGAAATGGTCCCAAAGCACTGAGTAATGCTTTTGCCTAAAGATGCTCCTCTCAGTTTCCCTTTGAGTTTGCTTTTTGCTTTTACAGGTCCCAATTTATTTGGTGGTCTGAACCTCGTAGGAAGGACTCGGTCTTTATGGATGCACTGGTGAGATTCCAGCAGAGCAAAAGTTGCAAAAGTGCTTCCACAACTGGAGCATATCCAAGGGTCTACAGGCTCTTTCTGCAATGAGAATAGAAACAGTTCTTTCTTATTGGCCATTCTAAGGAAAGGTCATATTCTTCTCATCGATCTTCGCCTGGGCTTTCCCATATCCATTACTGTCTTTGGCAATAGTTACTTTTATGTACTACCACACAGGTGTTCAACTGACAATAGATTCTCTCTAAGAATACAAACTCGAAGGAAAAAAAAAGGTTGGCTAAATACTGATTTACATGGTTTTGTTTAGCATTTACTATAACAGTCCTAAGTCCTTCATCTTTATCTGCGTTTACTGAATTCAAAGTCTCTACATTTGTTGCATTTATGAAATTACTTATAAAAGAAGCTGAAAATTGTACTTTAGACTGACATAATTTATCTGCTATTGCAACCTCACAAAAATGTCTGATTTTCTGCACACTAATGTAGTTTAGTCATACAGGATTTCCCTGTGTTTTGGACGGACTCCATGCTTTACCAGACAGCAATGGTCAATGTCTCCAGGAGAGGCTTCCTCACTTACCTTGACATTTGGCATTAGATTTTCATTAACCGAATAAGAAACATTTTGGTTTTAGGGATCTATTCTGAATTAGAGGTATTAAATTATTTCTGGGTTTTGGGGTTTTTTTATACAGTATATTATTTGGAAGTATTATTTCTGTGGAAATAAGAGCTCTATTGGATTCAGTTGAATTCACTTTAAATACTGACATTATAAAATTTCTAATGAAAAACAAATACAAAAAAACTCCGATTGCTGATGAAATGTACTTCCAATTAATACATGACAATGTACTTCCTCAGCTGTGTCTACCTTTTATGTAAGCTTCTCATAAACTGACTTTACTTTCCCTTGCTCCTGGGCTAGCTTGCTCTGGAGAGCATGGTAAGGCTGTGTCCACTCCATCTTTATTTCCAGACTGAGCCCTCCTCTCTGTTACTTGTCTCTGATGCTGTGGCTCTCTCACACCTTCCTTTGGGACACACTCTGAAGGCCTCATATGCCTTCTTGAAGAATGAATTCCCAGTTCATTTGTATTCCCTCTTTCACATTTCCTTCTAGCTTGAGTATCAATTTTCACAGCCACGTTTTCAACACTTAACAAGTTTTTCCTATCAGTTTAAGGACTTCTGCTATCAGAGGGGAAGGTATTGGGATTAGAAGAGAAGGGCTGTTGCACAGGAAAGACTGAAATAATCAGTGGATAATACAACCAGTTGGTCAGAGCATAACAAGGGGAAATGGTGAAAGAAGTCTGAGGCTGGACTGCTTGGTTATGCATGAATTAGTGCCAGTGTTTAGTCTTCCCAATACATCGAGCGGTGCCTCTTATTTCTGACTACATCTAATGACTCCATTGGATTACAAACATAGGAGAGGAAGAGCAGCCTTTCTCAGTAGTTGTTTGGTCAAAACTGCCCTTGGCTTTGTGTTAGCCAACTACTCTATAGTCTAACCTTGCATGACCAGAGTTACATAAACAGAGAAAGCACGTAAATAAACTATAATTTACTATGTATAGTGATGGCCTGAATGCAGATTAGGGGTACTTACTGCTACTGGAGGCAAAGGACAGACATCTGATTCTTCTTTAATGAAGACTGCGGAAGCTTCCATAAACTTGGCGTAATCGGCAGCATACCATACTTTCAGTTCGGTGTGGGGTTCAATTGGCTGTGAATGGAAAAAATATAGCACATATTTACTTGTGCCTATTTTCCTAAACCAAATAATATGGAAGATTGGAGGGGCTGGGGTGTGCCAGTTGTTGTCCTTACCCAAACTGCACTCTTTGACTCTGTCTAAATTATTGCTAACTTAGTTTCAAGATTCAAGCACTTTTTGAGCATTATTACCCACTAGGGCTTAACACTTTCTGTTCCTAAAAGCAGAACTGTGCAGAGATTTGGGGGGTAGGGGCAATAGCAGGAGGGATGCCTCAATCCTCATGACCTTTGCTCAGTGAGATGTATTTGTCTGTGATGTTCAGATACCCAGCAGTCTTTCCAAGCAATATCCCATGCCCATTCCTTGATGTCTGGAAGCCCACTGGACACAACACTTAACTGCAGGGTACAGACAAAGGAAAAACCCATCATGAACGCACAACAGCTTGGATGCCAAGCTGGATATGTCACACTGAGCATGGGTGCAGAGCTGATCAATATGTGGACTGCCACTCAAATTGGCATGTTTCCATGTGCTGGCTCTGATGTGTCAGGCTCACTAAGTGTGTGCTTTATTGTAACTCTCCCCTCCTTCCACTGAAGCCTTCCCCCAACAGGATTAAGGGAGCCCATAATCTGCAGTCTCCCATCCAGTCATGCTTGCCCAAATCTTTCCTTGGACTGGACTATGACCTCTTCTGACAAATACTTTCAGTCAATAGAACAGCAAATAAAAGAGAGGAGTGATTACACTCACTGGCTAAAGATCTGTCAGTTCTTTAAAAGCAAAGGAGAAAACTAAACTTTGGGGTCATGATTTATATGACTCCCTGACCCTGTACACAATTTTCTTCATCTATAATAAAACCCAACACTGCTGCTACAGGGGTAGAGCCAAACTGCACTGTAGTTTGTAGTTTTATTTTAACTAAGCTAAACTTGTGTCACTGAAAAAAAAACTAGCCCAAGAGGAGAGCAGCTGAGTCTTATTCTACAAAATGTGACATCATAAAATGCACTTATTTTATAACATCAGTGTGGGATAAGCATGGTAAAGACAATTTAGATTGTGAATGCTGACAGGTGAGGGATAATTTTGTGTATAATGTTGAAAACTGAATTTTTGGACTCCCAAGCACAAGCCTGCTTGCTAACTACAGTCAGTATGGGTTGGTTGTGCATTTTGATAACACCTGGCCTAAACAGAAATGGTACATGCTGAATTTTCCACTCAACTAAGGACATGAGGCAGAGCCATCAACTACGAGGCTGATCATGCACTGTGCTCCTCCACATAGTCTATTTCAATGGAGAAAACCAAGCTGTGGGGAGCTTCAGAGGTAGAAATGTCTGAGGATGTCCTACAACCTTGGCCAGTGACACCTGAGACTGGTACCCACAAACAACTGCGCAGTATGACACTGTCATGACCTTCCACCCAAAATTACAGGACCAGCAACTATCTTCCCTGAGGGAAGTTGAGACCTGGTCAATGTGACTTTGGAGGGCAAGTGCATCAGTGTGTGAAATTGTCAAGTAAGGTAAGAGCTCTAATCTCAGTAAAACTGACATTAAACATCAGTATCCAAATCCACTCCAAGTTGCCTTTTATTCTGTGCCATCTGTGAGAATAAAAGAAAACTACTACAGTGCCCATGTGAAACTATCCTGGGATCAAACAACAACCATGGATGACTCTTACTTTCTCACAATGTATACCTTTTAAAAGTAGAGGCTGCAGCCATTAGGTCAACAAGGCAGCTAATGGTACTGTTAGTATGTCACTTACATGTATGCTTTAGTAGTTATAGTTTCATGTCACCAAAATCCTATTTTTTTTTTGTAAAAACAGTAGAGAAAGGAGCCGATCCTGTCCCCAACTTAACATACTTCATTAAAAATATCTTGAGAAAATATCTTCATAGTCAGACCTAAGGGAGGCTAAAAGCATGACAAGAAGGGTGTGCCTAAGTGTAGTACAAGGCTACTGCTTTCACTGACCAGGACAAAATCTGCAGGATGACACAGTACCGTGAATGATACTGGGATTCAGGAGAAATAAAACCCAAGTCATGCCCTATGATACACAGCACAGTAAAGGTTCTAAGACACATGCCTAACCTTAAGATACTCTTTGTGTGAGTATATAGGATACAACTCTCCATTAATGCCAATAAGCAGGGTTCTGCTGAAGTCAGCAGAGAGCTGGTTCAATAGTACTTAAATTATACTGGAAATTGTAAGTTACCAGTTCATAACAACTACTTCTCGGAAAAGTTTATGTGTCCCAAATATAGTATTAGTAATCCTGTCAATCTTATAAGCAATCTTAAAATCATATTGAAATCTCAAATGGTATGGATTGCATGAGAATCTCAAACACAGCCTAAGTATGTCTCAGAATAGCATATACTGCTTCACATTTTTCTTTTATCCCCCTAACAATTATTTTAATATTAATCAAACCCCAAATATACTTCATACTGTTATAAATTACTTTGAGGGTGTGAAATGTTATCACTATTAACTTATTCTCTCAGCATCACTGTGCAGTAAATATTTTTCCTTAGTGAGCAGGTGGAAAAACAAAAATGGAGAAACAACAGTAAACACTGCTATGGCACAGAAATGTGTGCCAAATGTAATTGAAATGCTGGATTTTAATTTCATAGTAACTTCTTTTGACTAATATCCACTCCTTTTTTTTTTTCCACATTTTAACGTTGTTCACAATGATACACAAGCATTATGTTCAACAGATAGACTTCAGTTTCCCAAGTATGCAAGAAAGTTATTTCTGATTAAAACAAACTTTGCCTGAGAAAGTGGACAAAACAACTAAAAAGACTGTATGTTCCAGTGTCATTTATAAATAGAGACCACTTTGTTCTCTCTCCACAGATAAAGATGCAGTCCAGAATCTCTAACATAAACTGATCATTTCATGGCAACATTGCATGTTGCTAAGTTATTGCTTAGTTATGCAGTTGAGTCTTCAGATTTAATGAGCATGGAAAATAGTACATAAAGATTCTGCTTAACACTCTGTTCCTGAGCACATGGTAATGTGCTCAGAAAACACTACATGTCCAAAACTGTAATAAAGCAAAGGAAATTTGTTTGTTATTTCCAGAATGAACTACTGTCAAATGTAACAAGGCTAGATAATCTTACCATGTACCTATCTGGAACTGAGAAACTTTACTAAATGCAGTTTAAACACCACCATCAGGAATGATTTTTATGTTTCCCTCTGCTCAGTTTCTTCACTACCCACAACAGCAGGTACACACCACCTTTCCTGAAAAACCCCATACACTGCTTGCTTTACAATGGATTAAGTGATATAAAAGGTAGTGTGCAATAAAGATCCAGTTGGCAGAATATAATCAAACTTTCATCTTTAAAAGAGTTGGTCTTTCAGAACCTTTCCTTATACATTTCCATTTGGATGACAGGTGAAGCAATGTCAGTTTAACTACCTTAACTGTTGTGAAGTAAACTTCTCCACAGTGCTGATAAGCCACAAGGGTCTGTTCTTCTTGGTTCCGGGCTAGCCGGACAAACATCATCCAGTTTCCACAGTCTTCATTGGGAGTGTCCAGAAAGTACTTCCCTCCATCTTTCAATACCTGAAACAAAGGGGAAGAATGAGCATGATAAAACCAAGTCCCGCATAGAAGCACATTAGTTTTTTTAACTTGGAGTCACAGGTATCAGTTATTTACCCTGTCTTGCTCATATGTCCTTTGAAATTGTGGCTGTTTTGAAATAGATCACTCCTAAAGAATACTAACTGCAAAAGAAAGTGACGAACGAATACCTGCTGAGCACCCTGCTACTAAAATAACTGTAGGGCTTTGTATGTACTTCCAGTTTATATTTCATCATTTTTATGTTATATAGAGATAATATTATAAGAACTAAGTGCAGGCAGGTAGAAAGATAAGCTTTATGCCTTAATCTACTTCCTGAGTACTTGATAATCTCGAACTTCAGTGCTGCTACATTTTTCATGGAACAATTGTATAACTTGTGTAATAAGTTCAGAGAGGTAACATACAATATAATGGCATTTTAACAGTCTTGTCCTTTTCCCCTTAACAAGCAAAAGTAAATACAAATGAACAACTGTGCCAGAAAGATCTCTTTCTTTTTGCTTTACTTCATTCTTCCCCGATTCCCTTCCAAGAAGATGCCTCTGTGAGGTAAATACTATTGTCTTCCAACAAGACAGTTGCTTTTCTGCAATAGTGTCTCAAACATTGACCAACGAAGCTGCACAACAGATGTGAGCACAGCATGTATCTGTTCTACTAGCCATATAACTGAGTAATTAATTGCAAAAAAAAGTTGCATTTCCATTGCTTCTGGGAACTATTTTATCTAACTGCATCACGTTTCCGATGAAAACACCTGCCTGTTGGACAAGTTTGGTCACATACTCATGCTAGGGAGAAGTCAAGGCAGCTATTGCTGTCATGTAGGAAATCTGGGACTCTAATCTCCTCTTCTGAAGAAACAGTCCATTCATCAGCCAGAGCTGTGCTTATCACTGTATACTTTTAAGCAAACGGTGCTGAGTGATAGAGGATAGGGTGTGGTTTACAATGGCTTGGTGAAGAGGAAGGAACTGGGTGCTTAGCTCATCCATCCATTGTTAGAGAAGTACGTTTTCTGCATTTGTAAGAATTAAAGTGTCTCATAAAAAAACTGAAGAAACTTAGTTATGGAGAAGAGCAAATCCTTTCTGGTGACAATATGCCATGAAAATCGCACAGATTATTCTCCTCGCAGTGTTATTCTCCTCTCACATCATTCCCATGACTTCCATGTGCAAATGAAGTTTACGGCAACTACTGAAGCTATTACTTTTGCTCTCAAACAGAATTATGGAAGTATTTTCTTCACAACACACTGTTTTCTAGCCCTGAGCTTCCGGAGAAAGCTCGTACAAAGACATAAAGCGTGTCACAGGACAGATGCTGCCGGTGTCTCTCTACTGGGCGGTGAGAGGGCCTGATATGAAATACAAACTCTGGAAGAACCGTGACCTGTTGGGAAGTCCTGACAGAGGCTGTGACTTGACCATGGACTCGCTGTATGACAATATGTGTGCTCAGGCATGACCCCATGCAGCAAAATGCAAAGATTGGAACCTAGAGGATTACAATCAGCTATCGCTCCCAAGGAATTCCTGTGGTAAAGGATGTGCACGTCTAAGTTAGGCCAGTCCTGTGAGGCCACTATTTTTGCTGCATAAAGTGTGAACAATAGTGTCATGGTCCATATGAGATGATTAGAATCTGTGTGTGCAGCAACAGATGGTACCAGCACTAAAAAACAATCTGACTACACAAACTGAGTAGTGCACTGTGTGTCAAAGTTTATATATAATACAAACACATTATTAAGAAATGTTTCCCCATCCCTGCACTGTTCCTCCCTACTAAGCAAGTGCCTTAGTGCATATTTCTGCCATCATCTCTAATCCAGTGCACAAACTCAAACCTCCCAGTGGTATGGTGTAAAGCACAAATCCTCTTGTGTTATCTGGGAAGACAGTTCAGTAGCCAGGCTCTGTGAAAAGTTTATTAAGAGCTGTTAGACTGAGAAGTCCAGCATTCTGAAAATGGTAAAACTAGAAAGCAGAAAAGCAAAATTCTAGAAAACACAACACACAGGAACATATTGGTACTTCAGGTTATGCTGTATTGCCTAATAATGTGATTTACATTCATACTTACAGATCAAAAGCACAGTTAATTAACTAGATCAGTTGGCAAATTGACTGACTAAAATACATAAATACACATGAACTGCTAAAGACATATACGCACTTCATAGAATGTCAGTGGGTTTTTACCTGCAGGACTAGCCTGCTCTCATCATAGCAGGTCAGTTTTGTAGACAGTTGACCAACATAAGGACCAAACTGTGTTCTCTTCTGTATTACTTTCTTTGCAAATACACCAAGGACTGTGAACAAAGAGAGACCAATCTAATATTAATATAGACATCACAAACTATTTCCTATACATTTACAGCTGTGAAAATGGAGATAAACAAACAGTGCAGAACACATAGATTTTTCTTCTAGACAAGTAAGCCCTAATGTGAAGAATCTAAAAAGGATGTAAATAGGTACTGATATTTTTTTTTTAAATGGGTACTGCATTGAATGCAAAAGTGCCTAAAGTCCATGACAGGACATTAAACTGAGTATGCAACACAATTGTGTTGCTACTCTTCAATCTACAAACTGATGTTATCATAGTGCTCTCCTTGTTGGCATAATCTGAGAGGTTGTTCTCTCCCGATATGAGTGGAGAGGATCTATAAAAACATAACATTATTCTGCAACATTCATATCAATGGAGTGGCAGAATAGACACCTTGTCATTCTCTTTCTGAAATGCAATCTAGGTAGGACTACTTTTACACAGGTACCTGCAGAAAATTTGTGCACTAAGGACATCTTTTCCTTGTTCAAGTCTGGGCATTTGAATTGCCTTGCCCTCAGAAGGAAGCAACAGTCTTTCCAAAGTATGAACTGAAGATGCTGCAAAATGTAAACTACCCCACTGTGATCTTTTGCATTTGCAGGGGGTGGATGAGTGATATCATTTACCATTTTGTTTCTTTCTTTTTATTGAGTACTCTTTCCTGTTTTACATGCTTGAGGTTAAAAAAAAAGTAATAGTGCATGGCTGTTACTATTAGATACAAATTCAACATTCATTAAACTTGAATTGACTGAACAGAGCTAGCTGGTTGCTCACAGCTAAATGTCACACCAGTTCTGGCTAATGTCCTGCCATCAGTCTGTGCTTCTAAGTTAGTAGAAATCAGTCATAAAAAACAGTAGCTGACTGTGAGCTTTAGCTGTGCCCAGCTGAAAATAAAGCAGTCTTCATACTGCTAATGCCCAATGATTATGCCTCATGAAAACAAGCCAGTGCTAGTAATTTTGCCTCCTCTTTCTCAAATGTGGGAAAAAGAGCTAAAATACTTACTCTGCTGGTTTCCAGCTCGCAGCTCCAACACTCGCAAAGTGAGGTAGTGAGGTAGGGTGAGACGGGCTCGGCTGGGAATAACCCTATCTTTAGCCCTGATGAGTGGTCCGTGGAGTTTGCATTCTCCTACAAGGCTTCTACCACAATCCTCACACCCTACAAATCCAGAAAAGGGAACCTGTTACTAAAAATGGCATACTACTTTCAAATTTAATCTCCTCTAATTTTGTCACCTTGAGAACACATCTGGAATTACTAATGCTTTTCTTCACACCAGTGTTCTATATAAATTAGTGAAAAGATTATCTGCAAGAACTGAATTAGGAAGGTTTGAAATAACACCTCCAGTCTGTGCATTCTCGTGTGCAAATTGCTGGGTCCTGACCTCCAAAGATTTATACATGTGTTCAATTGGAGATGTCACAAACTGTGCCTCTGAAGACTGAGACGGCAGCAAAACTGGAGCTCATTGTGTGCTCACCTATAAATCAAGGTGCATACATGAAATGCACCAGAAATGAGAAGGACAAAGCTGTTAGTAACAACATGGCAAAGTTAGTCCCTTCCAACCGTACCCATTCTGTGACTATGTAATCCTGTAATTTGCAGAGATCCAAGGAATTCAAGGAAGACTTTGTGTCTGCTGCACAGACCATTCTCAGTAGAAGACAAGACCCACAGTGTACCATGAAAAATAAGTATGATGGGTCTTACAGTCACAACTCAGTTGACAATCGCACAAGGGCAGCCTTCTTGCAGGCCTCGCTGCCTATGGGAGTAAGGAAAAGGGGCACACCACATCTCCCAGTTGCTGGTTCCAATAATGACATCTGCAGGCTGAACACATGTACCATCCAGAGAAGTCATTAAAGAAAAATACATGTCTGCAAACTGACTTTCCCCCAGCACAGTGAGATATTTTTGGTTCAGTGCAGCTCAAACTGGTTGCCAGGGAAACTCATACTGAGCAGCGACACAACTGAGCAATGAGACTTTCCAGCAGAAGGTCATCTTGGCACTGCTGTCACGCAGGGCGATGGGAAAAAGGGGACTTCTTGCACAAAACATTTTTATAGACAGCAGAAACCAACCCAGTAAGCCAACAGTGCTTTATGACTGAGTTAAAAGGAAAAGCTGGTATTGGTCATCCATGACTACCTCATTTTGTTTTCCTTATGAAAACTCTGCTGAGCAAGTCTATTCAGTAAGCAACAATACAGAGCAGAGGAGGGGAGCCAGCACAGTCAAGAGAGTCCAAGGGAGCCACAGGACACTGTAGCAGAGACTTGGGCAGAAGAGGTGAGGCTTCACCACAGAGAGGGGCTTGTAACCAAGGAGAGGTCAAGAGAAGCATAGAAAGCTCAGGAGACTTTGCCTGGTGAGACATCGGAGATGTCTTTGAGAAAGGACACTAGCACCATAAATGCCATTACATATTAAGGGTAGCTCAAAAAGGTTTTTGTTTGTAAACAGATGTAGGCACTTGACTAAATTACACACCTTGACAGTCTAGTCCAAAATCTCCCAAATAAGCTGGAAGTGTTCCTAGCCAGTTCTTTGGGCGCTCCATCAATTTTAAATGAGGAGGTAGACCTGTGTGTTCGTCAGGCTGCAGGCACTACAGTAGTCTGTATTTTTCAGTAATTTGGGGACCGTGAAAGTTTTCTTTTGCCATGGCTCCCAGGCTGCACGCCTGCACTATGAGTAGCTGAAATACATTACTGTTTTTGCAAGTGCTACAGATAAAGAACATGCCCCTCTACAGCCCTCACTTAAAATGCACAAAAAACAACAATACAGCTGCAAAGCATATTTTTCTTGTTATACACTGGTTTGTGTGCTTGAAAGTCCTTTACAGCTAGGCTGCAAGAAAAAACAATTTCCTTGGTGATTTAACTTAATTGGCTTTTAAATAGATTCCAGAAGTCACCCTTCGGAGGACAACAAAATCAGGAGGGTTTCCTGAGCTTACCTAGAATAATAGTAACTTTGTCTCAAGTCAAACAGCTCCTGCTTGGAGAGTCATTGTATGCAAACTGCCAAAACACATTACCAAAAGCAAAACGGAGACAAAGAACTGCTGTTAGAGGAAGGATGTGTCTAATCGTAAAGTACACGACCTTATCAATCCATGCCATACCTCTGTGATTCATCACTACCAAGCTCCTGAGCAAACCTCTCAGCCTCCCCGGGGCAGTGCCCACCGCAGAGGCCCCAGGGTGGGCAGCTCACAGGTAGGCGGGAAAAGGAAAGCTGGGGGGGGGGAAGGGTATTCTTTGAATCGGCCTCCAAACTCAGCAGTAATTCATTAGCTAACCCCCTTAGTCCTCCAGATCCAAGACATAAGGTCTGAAATGATTCACACAGGTGGGTACTGGGGAGGCACTCCTCTAAAATCAGGGACTGCTTTGCATCAGAAGAGGTGTTGAGCATGCCACTGAGCTTAGCAGCCCCACAGATGGCTCCTCAGGTAGCACACCTAAGCAGCATGACAAAGCCCTGAATGAAATTAGCTGCGGAGCTGGAAGTGCTTTTAAGCACCTTGGGACCTGGCATAGCTGCACGCCGCCTTGAAATATCCAGAGCTGCCCAAGGCTTGTTCTAAGATTTTCTATGTTTTTTTTTTTTTTACATGGGACCTGAAGATAACTAGATTACTTAAGTTATTTAAGAGGCATACTGGTATTACATTCACTGCACAGTATTTTTGACTCCACACCAACATGTTAGTACCCTGACTCAGAAGTTATTGCGCTCTAAAAATTGCCAGGTGTACCAGAACCACAGGACTGGAGCACTGCAAACAGAATAACTTCAGGGACTACCCTGGGGAACAGGGATCTTTGTAATTTCTCTCCCCAAAACTAACAGTGCAAAATGGTCAAGTTCACAATCTTCCTCAGAGATAACTACAGATCAAGTCATGATCCTTTGTATATCAGTGCTAAATTACTGATGCCATTGGTGAAGGAATGTATATATAGCTGCAGCACAGCACTGGTTGCAAAGCTTACACAGATTTTATACCCCTTTTTACCCTGGCTAATTAAGTAAACTGCATTTTTTCAACAACAGCCTCAGAACTCACTCTGTTTTGAAATATCGAGCATCCAGCCACGGAAGCAACACACACTTTGTTGTATTAGCACTAGAAATGAAATACACTTGGTTAGAAAAATCATTTTCTGTGAAGAAGATTTCTTCTGCTTTTTGTTGGGACTTTAGTACCTCAATGCTTTTGCAGTTTCCTTGCTCCCTTAAACTGTATTTACACAAACAAAATTAATGGGCTCGAGGTCATGTGCAAGCATGCAAGAAAAAGTAAAACTGCCACCATTCCTCTGCTTTGCTGTGATTTAGATGAGTAGGGAACAAAAAGAAATAAATGAGATTCACAGGAGTTACAAGCTGTTAAAAAACAGATCATGTCATTTACTATACCTTTAGAACAACAGTGCAATATTGTCCCCTAGAGAGTATTTCTTCTTTCTCTGTCTTTGCAGTGATTCTGAAAAACTTCCAAATCATGCTTTTTTATCTATCTAGAGATACAACCACACAAGCTAACAAATCTTGTAGCTGTTAAGATTTTTACTTTGCTGAACTTCACTGCAGCAGGGGGAGACAGGCATACAGAAGAGCCTGGCACGGGTGCAGGTGCAGACTCTGACCAGGTTGCGGGTGTGCAACCACCACCTTAATCACAAGGACAAGATGCTCACCCCCTACAAACTGCCTCTGGAGGGGCTAACAGAAGGGCATATCTGTACACCCCAAGCCTGGTATCCCTGTGCCTGAATCTGCTCCCACTTCTCCCAGCTATTGAGAGGCATGGTTGGCAGCAGCCACGGCTTTCCCTGGCTCTTTGGGTCATCAGAAAAGTGAGACCCACTGCCTGCAGGATGCACTCCGACCACATGAGCTGACCGAATGGTGGTAACCATGTTCCCAAGGAGGTGAATGGGCTGCGAATTGGCTCACCTGTACCGTCCTCACCATGCTGGTTCTTCCCCCCAGTCCAGGTCTAGGTGACAGTTCTCCTTTGCTTCGGACTATACAGCCTGGCAGCCTCAGTGACCAGCCTGCCTTGCCCTCCAGACGGCTCTGGGGCCAGCCACGCTGCACAGGGACAAGCTCCCGCAGCCAACAGTAGCCAAGCTGGCACAGTAGCTTGGGCAAGCTGGACTTGAGCACAGTCAACAAACTGGTTTCCAAAACAGCAGCACTGTCGAGTACTGTGCCACCCCCACAGGCACAAGCCCGGCCTCGGGGAGAGCTCATTAGCGTGGGCAAGGAGCCACAGGCTGCGGTTACACAGAGTCTGCTGCAGAGATAACAGGAGCTATACATAACCATACTAGGAACTACAATCACTGTCATGATAGCTCAGACATGCCACCAGCTCCTTAACCAATCAGCAGCAGAACATCACTTTTTAAAACCAGTTTGCTAAAAATTAGATGCCTATCAGGACGTCCTTCCTGCATTTTCTCCAACCTCTATTTTTAAGAGAGACTTTACAGTACCTGAACACTTCAGTGGCCCACAAGACGCCTGCGGTACAATTATGTTCCCTGTGAAGGCAGAGGTAAATCATTCCTTCTAGAACGTCCACTTTGAGCAAGAAACGATCGGCGTCTGAGCAGCACTTGACATTTGCTGTGCTGTTTTGCAGCATTAGAATTAGCTCCCATGAGCAGAGGGAGCAAAGATCAGTGTACATAACAGTCCAAATCCTAGACTAATTACAATCATAAGATTTGCATAGCAAACAACAGTAATTTATCACAGAGTAAAACTGTACTGCTCCATTAGCCTTGTTCAGCTTTCACATAGAGGAACGCTGCAAAAATACCATCTGGATGTTTTCTGTCCAAGATGCTTTGCACATACCAGTCTTGGTTCTTCTTACTCAGAGGTATGTGAGGTGGTGCATGAGGGTTTCCTGCCCTACGGTTTGTTCTGCAGCACTCTGTGCTGGAAAAGCTTAAAAGCCTTGTTCTACAGTATAATTTATTTAGCAAAAAAGTCAAAGTACTCAATTAGCAAATAGTTAATCACAAGTTATTTTCCCATTATTGTGGGCCACTGACACAATTCCCACTGTAAAGAAATGTTTATGAAAGAAGCCTTATGTGTCCTAAGTTTGATGTGCAAAATGAAGCTCTTAATTAATAATTTATCCTATTTATATTAAAGTAAAATAGAACTTGCTATAACTACCATAATGAAGAATGTCATGCTAAATTTTCTACTGACTAATCTTCACTTTTTAACTATAATAACTGATCCCCAATCCAGCATCAAAATAGGTAAACATTTCTTCAATGTCTACTTTTCACATCTATGTCATACATCAAAACCTTGCATTAACAGAGAGGTACGACTGCTCAGCTCTGCATGAAAAAAAAGAAAAAAAATAAATCAAGAAACCACACTCCAGGCTGACTTTGCAATCACAATTGCTCACCCGAGCAAAGACTGAAAACTTGCACTTTTGTGCTTGACACAGTGGGAAGTGGGTACTACATTTTCCATAACCCTGCACCCAAAACAACTCCACCTGCAAAAAGAAGGGGGGGGGGGAAAGAGATTTTCTCTTACGTGCTTAAGAGGGAAACTTTATAGATTTCAAGCAGTGAGTTCCCACGCCTTTGACACACGAAGACCATGAAGCCTCGCAGTCTGCCTGGTGGCACCAGCAGGGACACTGTGGATATGCTGCTAGGGCAGTATCAGCTCCTTACCAAGGCCTTGTGCTGGTCACTGCCATGCCCAGGCTTTCTGGTGAGTGGACAGGAGCTCCTGAGATGCAGATGGAAGGGGAGGAGGAGTCCTGCTCCTGTGCAGGAGTGAGCAGCACCCTGTACGTAAATGCCTACACCCATTGGGGCCCCCTCTCCCCGGGAAGGAGAATAGTAGGTGGTTTGCAAACATCCCAGAAATCATTCTTAACATTAAACATATTCATGGGAACATGACCTCATGCTCCTAAAATGTAAAACTTTAAAAATGAGTTACTATATTTGGAGACAGAAACAGAGAAAGAGAACAGCAAACATGCCTTACTGCCACCCCACCCCATACATTCAGTCAGGCTGGCAGGTCGAGCTAATTCCCTAAAATGGGGACCCAGCACTGCAGGTGAACCCAGCCCTCAGGCATCCTGACCCAGCCACTGATCTGCAGTGACGCTTTCCCTCATCTCACCTCCAACCTCCCCGTGCCTCTGTTTTTGTTCCCCAGAAGAATGAAGATTCAGAGGGAGGGCACATCCCTGGGTTTCCAGCAGTGGAAGATCATCTGTCAAGGCATCTGCTTCTTCCTTACAGCAGTACGATCTTGACAGCACAGCTGTTCTTATGGAAGAATGCCTCTAAGAAGGGAGGCTCAGCTCTTATCTGACTATAAAGAAACCTTCTAACACAAAGCACAAATGCATTTTCCTGGCAGACACAAGTTCCAACATGTAAAGTCTTCAGAACTCCAAAACTATTTGTTATACAAACATATAGAAGATAACAACAACTATGATTCATTACTAGTTCCTAATAGGGAGTAATCATGATGACAGTCAAGCACATCTGGGAACAGTTAAGTTTTTGCCTGGTGGCCACGAAGGACTACAACAGGCATAGCCAGAATGAATTTAACCAGTTTCCTACAAAAAGTCAGTTTCACACCAATCCCAATGAGGCTACTGTGCTCCTTCTGTCTAGAAAATCTTAGCAAAACAGTTAGAGAAGCCTCAAGGATCACAGCTGGGCTGTGAAATTTAGCAGTTTCAGCAGGTTCCCGTGAAGCCTGTGCAGGAAAAGCAACTCTGTGCTCTGCTTTATCTTACAAACTTCCCAGCTAGGAGGGAAAAAAGTTACCTCCACTGTTTGAACACCTGAAAGGGCAGTAACTTACAAGTCTTTCCCATAAAATTAGAGAAAAAAACCCTCAAGAAACCCACAACACACAAAAAAAAACCCCAACAAACCAAACAGCGGGGAAAGTATGTAAGTGTGTTTATCATGTTTAACTGTACTGCAGTTTGACCAACTGATTTATCAAAGTTCTTGGTAGGTTCATTCATCTAAAAATGACCTGAGGTCAAAAAATTCATTGATTGATTGAAAGCTAATTTAAAAAATAATCTTTTGCTCGTTATTCTTGGTATAAAATGTACGTGTCACATTTCCAGTACACCACATGGGGTTTGGTTGTTATCAGAACCCATATACATAACCACTACAGTTCAAGTGAAATCACCTCCTGTAGTTTACATTTAATAGCTTCTAATCAGCACAAACAAAGAGACTTCTCTCATTGCTAAATGCTGAACACATTTCAAACAATGAAATTCAAAAATACAGTTGGATTTTTCAGGTTTTTTTTTCCCTTCTCTCCCTCTCCCTCCACTGTCTGAAGTCATATAAAATTAGATCCAGAAACAGGAAAGGAAGTTAACAGCAAATTCGCAGACACAACTACAATATTTTTACGAGAAAGAGCCTCAGTCAGCATAGCGTGGTCCTACAAAATGCCCAGCAAGAGCCTCCTAAGAGCAAAGCCTTCCTGATGCACTCTGCTCATCTCCAGCAGTCGGACCTGGTGCAAGGCTGTGGCTCCTTGGCTGCAACCCCTTCGTCTTGCTTTAGGTCTTCCCTAGCACTGCTCAAACCACGCCGCTTCTGTACTGCAGATAGCAAAACTAAAACCCCCTGTTCACAGAAACACAGCCAGCTATCAAGAGAGTCATATTCAAACTGCTTATAATCACCCTGGGGCTCCTGAGCCATGTATTGTACTCCCTAATCTACATCTCCCACAGCACAGGTTCGACCTACCACAGCTGAAGAGGCTTTCATTGGTCACAAGCAAAGAGGCCTTTTGGGGAGATTTTTGACAGGCTGGTTGATTTATTTTAGTGTCAGACCTTTTAGTGGAGAATGTAAATGCTATCGCGGCAATTTAACACAGACACCAGAATTTTCCATCTTTTTACTAGCAGGAAAAAAACCCAGGCACATATGTCTTCCTATATGTATGTATGTATGTATAAATACACATGTACGCAGCCACACACACACACACACACTATATCAAGTGCATTAATACAGTTGACAGTTTTATTGATGGCAGGTCAACACCATGGTTTCAATTCTGATAAATAAAGTGCAGCAATTGTAATGACTAAAGCTTAGTATTAATTAGTTGAAATATTTCCAACCCTTGCAACATTCCCTTAAAAGGGAACCTTAGACTGGGTCTCTCTCTCCATCACTGAACTTGGTTGTTACTGCCCACCAAGTCCAGATGCTGTGTGGAGGAGACTGGTGGAAGGCCTGGTGACAAAAGCTACCTCTCCTTAGGAAACCGGTTCAAATCGATTCTTGATTTTCCATGGATGACACAACTTTCAACATAGACTTGCGGGAACTTTCCCAGCAAAGATACTAGCAGCTGAGATATATTTCCAGCTGTTTACTAAAAGAAAGAACCAGGCAGGTAGACACGCTTTGGAGATGGAAATATGATATGAGTTTAGTGTAGGATGCAACAAGGAAGCCTGGCATGACAGACCGAAGAGATATTGTACTCATCCCATGGCTGGAGAACTTGAAGTCTTTAGAGGCAGTTATAACATGAACCAAGCCACAGCTACCGGGAATAAAAGTGCAGTGCAAAAATGATGTGACCCACTTCTGTAGGTATTAGTCTGTGCACTTAGCTCTACTGATGTGCAAGTAGCCACATTATGAAAGAAGGAAGTCCATGGGGAGAAGTGAATACATGGACACATAAAACTGGCTGGAGCTGTGACCCTGGGGTCTGTCCTGAAAGAATACTCCAATGTATATTACATTCAGTGGAAACTATGCCTGAATAAAACTGGAAAATCAGTTAACTTTCTCAGTGAACCACCCAAACTTCCTACTGATATTCCAACTCATCCAAGAGAAAAAAATTATTTTTTTTTACTAATGAACCCTAACGTATATATTTAAAATACTGAAATGAAGGAATCTTCTTTTAAAAGCATTGGCTTTTGTAAATGAAAGGTCATTAACAGCTTGGCAGAACAGCTTTAGCTCTTATTACGCATCCGCTTCATAACAGAAGATACTGCCAACAACTTCTGT